TTTACCTGAAATAGATTGTTAAACAGAAAGCTTATTGAATTTGCTACCAGATGGCGTCATTAACTGGGGTTCGTTGAAAAAGTGACTTAAATCGTGCTTCCCCGAGGCTCTTCATATTTTTTTTATAGGTGTAAATGAGTTTTAAGTGTGAGAATGACACCTATGATCGTATAATAGTGAGTTGACAAAATATTGAGCAAAAGACATAGAAATAATTATGTTTTGACTTTCTTAAAAAAAATATGAAATTGTAACTTTAAATCCCGATGATTTCGGATCGATTCGGTTTGACACATATCGGACCGTAATTGACCGGATTTTTACCCCTATTATAATTAAGTGTTCCGTTTTTTTTTATTTAACTTTGATTTAAGATAAAATATATGTTTATCAACATTGCCCCTAATTGGGCGAAAATTTGGTGTGAATTTTTTTATTTGGCTTTGATTTCGATAAGTTAGATTTTAGGGGCAATCAGACTGCTACGTCTCGTTAAAATTGACCTTCCATTGGCAAGGCATGTGATACATAATATTCCATGAAACCACGATTGGTTTGCCGATTTAGATGGCACTTTATAATTTTACGCACAATGTGAAATATGTACGAAGTTTGTGGTCCCTCTATTGGACTCTTCAGAGGTCACAATTTTTGTCCGATTCAGATAAAACCTAACAATGTTGTTAAGGACCCGAAGAGCGTGGATGAGTTCAATTTATAAACGTTTGAAATTATCCGTCAAAACTGTCGCGTCTATCGCGTTCACAGGGTTCTCGGGTACGCACAAAAGGCCACGGAGCGCTGACAATGGGTAGGGTTTGTTCTCTTATGACCTCAATGATTCACACCAAATCTGAAAAGAATATTCAAACCGTGGCGTCTATCGTAGTCACAAATGGCCACAGCAAGATAGACGTATAAAAGACGTCATCGGTTTTAATCCCTATAGCATATACATGTATAGTATTGCGAAAGGCGATGGGCGGAGTGTTGGAAATAGAATACTTTAAACCTTATTATTCACACAAAACCGGTTTACAAATACATGTATACGACCTTGAACACAAGTACATGTATACGCCATGTTTGTAATTTTCCACAAAAAAATGAACTACTTTTCCAAAAAGCTTCATTACAATTGTATACGTATAGGTCTTAGTAATGATCTATTTACGAAGTAATGCATAGATATATGCATAAATCAACTAACGCTTTGTAAAGGAAACATTTGTACAGTTTTTGTTTTCTCTTAATTCACGTTGACAATTTCAACACAATAATGAAATCCTTAAAGCCGTCTAGTTCTTTCATCGATATCCCTTCTCCTTGGTTAGTGAACTTTCATAACTTCGGGTTATTAAATAGCTATGGTTCAGGGGAAAATAAAATGGAATCTCTGAATTTCCGAAACAAAAGTAAATCTCTCTCTAATATGTAATTTTGTGGATGAAATATATAACAAAAAAAACCACGAGAATTAGCACATAGCTACGGAAGCTCAAATACGAAAGACGTTTTGTTTTTCGATTTCATATTTCTATTTTTAATTTTTTATTTTGAAAAATAATTTCTAAATTCTATTTTTAATTTTGTAAATTAATTTTTAATGTTGTAAATTAATTTTTAAAGTTGTAAATTAATTTTTGTTGTAAATGAATTTTTAATTTTGTAAATTAATTTTTAATTTTGTAAATGAATTTTTAATTTTGTAAATTAATTTTTAATTTTGTAAATATATTTTTAATTTTGTAAATTAATTTTTAATTTTATATTTTAATTTCCATTTTGTAAAATAATTGATAATTTTGTTTTTCTCGAGTACCATTCGGCAAACCTCGACTGATTCCTTGATCATCATCGTGTCATGTTGCTCGCCTGTACGGCGTAGCTTGATGTGCCTCTCCGCTATACGCCTGAGGTTGTGGTACGGTCGTAGGTTCACTGATTATAAACACGTGTCGCTTAACAAAAACAGTTCTTAAAAAGGCGTGTTAGTCGCAATTTTCTTTAAAGGCAGTGCGTTTGGACGGTGTGAAGCCGAGGTCAAATAAAAGTATTAAAATAGACGAGGTAGGCCGAATACATGTATAGACAAGCGTCTGTTATCAACGAAATGGGACCACTGAATAAAATAAAATGAAATGAAATGAGGTTTGACGTCCTATTGTTCTGCTGCGACTGAGCTAATGAAGACGGGCATACGCCATACAGTGTGCTATGAGGGGAAATTTTGCCCGGGCAGCGGCGATACGGTCTACTCTTGTGGGCTTTCGAGTTTTCATCGCATCCGAACGACTCAACAGCTGTCTTTGTTAGGGGAAACCTTGCCTGAAAATACCGATGACCATTCTCGGCCGACAGTGTCTTACTCGCATAGCCACCGTGGGTCCCATGGCGACAGGGAAATGAAGTGTGGTTTAACGTCCTATTGTTCTGCTTCGACTGGACTAATGAAAACGGACATATGCCGTACAGTGTACTATGAAGGAAATTTTATCCCGACAGCGACGCTACGGCCTAAACTTATATCGAATTCCAACTGCGAAGAGATCTTTGACGTGCACTCCAATGTGTACACGAGACCTCAATTTTTTGTCCCATCGCAACTACTACCAGTAAGTGAGAGAGAGAGAAAAATGGGGTTTAACGTCCACTTGACACAAACTAGGTCATTTCGGGACTAACTTACGGTTTAATTTTATTTCAATAATTCGCTTGCGCGTAGGAGTCTTTTGCAGTGGGAGGAAACCGGAGGACCTGGAGAAAACCCACGAGGTTGGACAAGATGTAAGTGAACCGGGGCGGTCTGATGGTTCTGAAAACAAATTTACAAAATTAGAAATTATTTTACAAAATTAGAAATTATTTTACAAAATCAAAAATTATTTTACAAAGTTAGAAATTATTTTACAAAATTAGAAATTATTTTACAAAATTGAAAATAAAAATTGAAAATTATTGTACAAAATTGAAAATTATTGTACAAAATTGAAAATTATTGTACAAAATTGAAAATTATTGTACAAAATTGAAAATTATTGTACAAAATTGAAAATTATTTTACAAAATCGAAAATTAAAAATATAAATTTGAATTACTTTTTTCAAAATTAAAAATACATAGCTACGTGATTTAATTTTTGGACCAGAGACAAGAAAAGTCTGGGATCAACGTTAGACCGGTAACACCCTTTGAGGTGCACATAGAGATCGGCCAGCTAGGCAACATGTCGTTTTATCAAAGGCCAGTGAATATGCTTAGGTGCGAGTCGATTAAAGTTTAAGAAAGGGTCTTTAGACTAGAAAATAATGCTATGCGAGACCTATTTAAAATGTGCCAAATCACGTAGGTCTATATATAATTCTGAATTATTGAGTAAATATTATGGCTGATTTCTTGTTAATAGCTACGTCGTATATTAGACATCATTCATATACATATCAATAAAAAAGCGGACAATGCTGTCTGTAGCTACAAGGGATATTGATATGTTGTTCAGATAGTACAGAATATATAACGAATCTTATACTAATCGAATGGCGATTTATCCCCAAATAACATATTCTACAGTCGATATATATCGCTTGATTCACAATATTTAAACATACATTTTGCAAGAGCTAAATCTGCCAATTGCAGGTCTTTCTTTAGGCCTGAAATGTTATCTAAATTATTAATTTTGGATCACATGTTCTTCTACGAGCCACAAATGGGATACGATTGATGGAAATATTATAAAGGCACATTTATATTATTTCGTTGAAAGAGAGAGAGAGAGAAAGAAATGGGGTTTAACGTCCACTCGACACAAACTAGGTCATTTCGGGACTAACATATGGTTTAATTTTATTTCAAAAATTCGCTTGTGCAAAGGGGTCTTTAGCAGTGGGAGTACCCGGAGAAAACCCACGAGGTTGGACAGACGACCCTACTCCTTGTTACGTACGACCGGGGATTCGAAACCACACCAGTCGACTCAATGACAGACTTTATGATACAGCGCGCGCACGCTAACCATTCAGCCATCCACCCCCTATTTCGTTGAAGCCTTTTTCTAATACTTACATGGGTTATTCAGGAACCACGGTGGGTAAGTGGATGAGACGCTGGTGTTCGATCCCTGCATTGGCCGAGAAAGCTCATCGGGATTTTCCGACGTGGTTTCTGGTACAGGACGGAGGGTCTAACAAGGACAGCTGTCTCGTCATTGGGACGAGACGAAAACCCGAGGTCCTGTGTGCACATCGGCGTGCACATGAAAGGTCCCTTGGTAGTTAGAATTCGTAATATAAGAGTGGGTCATAGTGCCGCTTCCCACTTCCAAAAGTAATCATTATACATTAATAATCAATATTTTAACAGTGATTGAGAAATTAAACAGTTGCAAATTGAATACTCATCATCAAAATTGAATGGTCAGCTTTAAATTGGACAAAAGTACTAATTAGATGATTTGGGGTCATTTTAAATGATTTCAACGAAGTTTTAAAGAAAGATTTGATTTTAAACGAATGTGGAAACAATAGTGCTAGATACACACGAGTAAATGATAACCGGCTAACAGTGTATTGGCAACCAACACAAGGGAGATAACTCCCAATTTTAAAATCAAAGACAAGTACCCCTCTCTCTTATTGTGTGTGTGTGTGTGGATGTAGTCATCAATATGGATCTATTTCGGACCGAGAATAGCTTCTAAAAGTATTTAGCAGTTTTGGATTTACATGGTTATAGACATCCAATATAATCTAGTATAATTATTTAATAAGCTGTACTTATGTTTGTATCTTAATCAGTGGATTCCTGCGCTAACTTCCCTTCAAGGCTTGTTGACAAAAGCTCAAGATAACGTGAAAAGACAATACTTTGGAGATGTTAAGTTACCCAGAGAATAACAGCCCCATACATGCAAATTACAATACGAAGGAAAACTACTATCACAATTATAAGAAAATAGACAAATTTATTTCTACAATTTAATTTTTAAAATGTACCAGAACATGATCACCGACCTTAAGGCCAAAAATATATTTTGTCATCATAAATTACAATACAAAAATAGTTAACACATGCGTAAAATTATTAGAAATAAACACGTTTTAAATAAAAAAAAACCAATCAAATGTCCACCAATCTAAGAAAAATAAACTGCGCAGTCTTAAAAGAGTTATTCCGTTCAGATGAACATCATCTACTCTTTGATCATGCCAGCTTCATAGAGAATAGAAATACCCAGTGACATTATATTATTTAAAATATAAGTATAGACAGTATAAGCAAGAAGATCAAAGGGAGAAACAGAAGAGTAGGAATAGAAACAGTCAATGGCTAATTAACGTATTACATATCACAAGATAGCATTGGGGAATATAGGAAAGGAAACATTCACTGGAAGAGATGAACGTATGTACATTTTACAAGATAGAATTAGAGTATATAAACAGTCCCTAGACTAGATCCGCGTATTACATAATTACAAAATATACTTAGAGAATGTAAGAAAAAACAATAGTCAGTAGAAGAGATGGACTTATTAAATTTTACAATATATAATTATAGAATGTAAGAATAGAAAAAGTCACGGAATGGATGGACGTATTAAATATTACAAGATATAATTAGAGAATATAATTAAGGAAGAAGAGAAACAGCCAGTAGAAGAGATGGACGTATTATATATTACAAGATATAATTAGAGAATATAATTAAGAAGGAGAGAAACAGTCAGTAGAAGAGATGTATAAACTACAGACATAGCTCCACATTCATCAGGTTTAATTTCTTCTAACGCTGCAAAGTATATATCTTTGGTCCTCGGCTTCGCAGTACATCCAGTCAATGCGGCATTGGACGGTATACACTCCAAGAAATATTTGGCAACCCTGAAACAAAGTTTAGCTAAGATTTTATTGTGAATGTCTTATTTCGACAAGAACCTAATATAATGTTAGATGCAATGTTCGTTACACATGTACTATTTAGGAATGGGCTATGTCTACTGTTTATTTGCAAAAAGGTGTTTTGAATGCAATTCCCTTGATTGTACATGATGGTGATAATACTTCTAGGGTTGCAAAGCTTTGCTGTTTCAAAACACAGAGGAACAACAACGTAATACGACGCTTAATACATAAATTTATTGTTAATTCTCGTGTAAGTTTTATGTTTGGATATTAAGATTGGTATTTATAAGAAAGATACTTACCCGCAGTAATAAGTCTTTAACATAGCAAAGCTGGCTGTGGGTGTTGGCATGGTAAGGTTCGCTGCAGTTCCTTTAGGTGCTGCACATGTGTTTATACTGGCGACATCCACACATGCTACATCGAAGTCTGAAGAAGATAAGATAGCATTGTTTTGAAGTTCGCCGACTGTTCTAAGTGAGAAAATTTTAACAATGGAACTGTTAACAATAGGTTACGTGATTCGATTCGCTACCTGATAGGAACTTGACTTCTTCACACGACAAGTAACAAATTAAGTAGATTTCCCTCAGACTGACATACTCTACACTACTTACAATTATATGGTCTATTTATCACTATTTATTTTGGAACCGATTCTTCTTTAAATATTAAGTTTCTAGGCAATGAAACATGACCCCTGACTACTTTATAAATGTAAATAGGTTGTTTAATAGTTTAAAATCCTTGAGTGACATTTAGCGATTGAACACATTGAAAGCACAACACAGTTTATATGGAACTACAATCACTGGTTTATAGGCATAGCACGACGTTTCGACAAGTATTCTCTTATCGTTATCAAGCACAAATGATAATTAGTTAAACAAAAAGGTGATATTTATAGTAAAACAAAAAAGAAGCCATAGACATATGCTTTTATAATACAAGATAATAGTTAAATTGATGAAAGGGTAATTAAAACTTAAATAATAGTTTAATTGATAGGGGTTAACAATAATCAGGTGGTAACAAAGACATAAATGTAATATAGACAAAATAAACACAATTGTGAAGCCCTATTAATAAGAAAGGTGTAATAATAGATACATTTACTATAAATATCACCTTTTAGTTTAACTAATTATATTGTTTACGATATCACCTTAGGTGGAAGTGGACGTAAAACTCCAGAAACGAACGAACGAACTTAACTAATTATCATTTGAGCTTGATAACGATAAGAGAATACTTGTCGAAACGTCGTGCTATGCCTATAAACCAGTGATTGTATTTCCATATAAACCGTGTTGTGTTTTTTTGTTTAATAGTTGCAGTCATTAATAATTTGCAAACAAGGAAAGTAAATAGCGAATGGACTGACAAATGCGACAACAATTTACGAACGTGCATCTTTATTTATTGCAATAAGAAAAACAGGGAAACTTACCATTGATTTGGTTGCATATTGTATCAAAAGCCTCAGCATATTCACCACTGCCAGCTACTAGTTTCATTGTGTCCACATTCCCACAAGCACGGTATGCGTTTACAACACATATAATGAGAGTTCTGTAGAGTGCTCTATTTTCTCTGTAAAAATACAACAAACGATAATCACAATTCAGGGAAGTTTACTGGCTATCTTTTCAACTCCAACATATGGTCACATGTACAATGCCAGGAGGATTTTGTTCGGACGACCATTGTTAACATCAAGGAATCTTTTCAGTTCTGATCAATATGAACCAAGGTTGACGTCAGTTTACTCACACCACTCAACGACTTTACTTGTCGGTCGAACGTGGAAACCACGCCTTAACGGTTCGATAAAAATTGTGCCGTTTATGCATGACTGACAAAACGTCCGGCTCGATTTGATTGCTATGTGCAGAATATTGCTAACAAAAAGTGAGTCGTGGTGGCTCAGTGAGTAAGGTATCGGGTTCGATATCGGTGTTGGACATTGGACATTGCATGGCGTATGCCCGTCTTCACTATCCCAATCGGTGCAGACAAGTGGGACGTTAAACCCTATTTCGTTTCATTTATTTTGTTATTTTGATTTCGGCTTCTTCAGTGAAATCTTTGTAGAAAAACTACAAATTAGTTCAATATTGTGATCTAACTGGTATTAAGGGTAGAGATTGATAGACATAGCACAAGACTGTCGACGTATATCATTGTTATCTAGTTTTGTTTTTATTTTGTCAAAAAGTGTAAACAAGTCCTACAGACTTGAAATACTTACCCACACCAGGGTGTTATATCAGTTGTCAAAGCTCCGACTACCGCAGCGTAATTTAAAATTGCACCACCAGTTCGGTTTAGAGGGGCATTGCAAGCCATCACTGCGTTATCATAGGTAGTACAGCCAGTCGGATTAATTTGACCATTGACAAGGCAGCCTGAAACTAAATAATTTATTTAATGAAAACAGAACCAACTAAAACGTGGAACGATTCCAATGTCCGACGCTATGCAAAAATTATATATAATATGCTGAAGCCCAATCTGGATTCCCCTGTCCTGGTTTGCACTGGACCATGTCAGTCATATGCGGCAATTATCCTACTAATCACCGACAAGAACGTTTGTCAATAGCACCCACAATATTGCTAAATCTGACCGAAAAGGAAAGATGTGTTACAGATAATAATGCATATTCTGCAAACATTTACGAATTTTAAAGGAGTTAAATCTCTAATTCAATATTTTCCATGATGCTAGAAATAAAAAATACGAATTTGAACTGAATATTGGTCCATTTCAATCGATGTTGATGTTGGTATTTTGTAGTGAAAATATGGGATCCTAATATCCAATATTTAAAGACACAATGGACAATTTAAAATCAGTAGACGAGTCGTGTACGCTGTGGTTCGGGTGCAATTTATCATCAACAACGACAACATATCCTATTAGGCAATACGTAAGTTATTAGTAATGGCTGATTGATAAACAACAGAATAATAATTTAAAAAACGTGTAAAATGGAATACGCAGACGTAACAGACTTTCCTTGAAATTGGACTGTTCGTGTATCTCACCGAGACTAATTTATTAGAAATTACAATGAATATTTGAAAAATTGAATATAAAACACTTTATATACATTCCTTATTACATTAATGTGTGGGGATCACGTGGCTAAGTGGGATAGACGCTTGCTCGCTAGCCTGGAGGTCGGGTGTTCGATCCCTGCATTGGCCTAGAAAGTTCATCCAGATTTTCCGGCGTGGTTCCCCCTTGTCAGTGATGCAGGACGGAGGGCCTGACAAGGACAGCTGTCTAGTCCTTCGGGTGAGACGAAAAACCGAGGTCCCGTGTATACATTGGAATGGTATACATTGGAATGCACGTAAAAGATCCCTTGGCAGTTGGAATTTGATATAAGAGTAGGCGATAGTGCCGCTGCCCGGGCAAAATTTCCCTCATAGCACACTGTATGGTGTATGTCCGTCTTCATTAGCCCAGTATAGGAGCAGAACAGTCGGACGTTAAACCCCATTTCATTTCATTTCATTCCATTAATGTGTGCTTTTAGACCCATTTCAGATTCCGAAGAATAGAGCCCTTTAAATGATTTTATACAGAAAATTATCGATGGTTGATATTTTGACAAAACGGTCCTGTGGTAGTTTGTCAATAATGCCCAAAGTATTGTCGGGATTTGATTTTCGACCAATTGACCAATAGATGCATACACCTTTGATATAACAAAAATCTGTCGTTTTTTTTATTTTTCAACTTTTCCTATAAGAGTGTGTTGATATTGATTTCTTTCACGAGAATTGACAATGACCAATAACAATCATAATATGGCATAAAATTTATGTCAACTAACTGCTTTTCGACAAGATAACGATCGGCGAACAATTATATAGGCAATACGAGATATCTTCTACCGGGGCGCTCAGAAAGTGTTATAGCCAGAATTTGGTCGACATTCATTGTAGAGTGGGGTTGTGCATGATGCCCTAGATTTGGAACTGGCCCCCTTATTCGCAGCTTCTAGATCCGCTACTGATAATATTTGATAACGATAAAAACATAGAAAGACATGAAATGTGATAAAAACATCATAAAAATATAATACAATTTGATAAAAACATCATAAAAATCATAAAATGTTTCTAGAAGCCTTTATAAAAATACAAATTTTTGACAAAAATCTGTGCATCGTCCCTGCATTTATTTTAAATGCCATTCATTAAATATTCGTTTATCGTTTTTAATAAAACTACATTTACAATTTTTCGACCAAAATTAGATGTCAAGATAATTTAATTTCAGAGTTTTCTCCTAACTTGGATAATATATGGACAGAAAAAAACCCAAAAACACGCGGAATATAACACATTCGTCGCAATGCGTTAATTTTGTTCTTAGGTTTTTAATTTCCGTCATATACTATTGATAATTCGCCTAATAAAGAAATGACGTATTTATTTATTACAATCGTTGTATCAAAATTAAATATCTAGATAATTAAATTGATCTCGGTGGTTTTCTGCTATTTTTAGCCCAGAATAGTAAATAATAATTAGTATTTCATTAGCGTACATTTATTAACACTGATATGCGAATATTTAATGAATTAATTGAATAGAAGACACGTCTGTAATAAATGGCATTTAAAAAAGAAGCCTTCTCGTATTATCAGCATTTATTCTATTCGTTATAAATTCTCCGACAATTCAAATTTTAGCGCAGAATGAAAATAAAGAAATAAAGAAATCTCGATCATCGGGTCGTATTATTCCTTTTTTTTTGGCGTTCGCCATTCGTCGATTTTGGGAGAATAACAGCCACCGCCTTTTAATTGTCCCTTGCTTTCTTCGAAAGGCGGGGGACAAAAAAATAAAGTTATTAGGGACTTGACCCGCCGATTTTGAATTACAGCTTTTTTGGATACAGCGAAAGTCAGACTGCGTTGAGTTTTGCAGTCAAATGCGTTATACCTTTCTATGGTCTGTTGAATATAATGTGTATGAGAGCACTGGAATAGCTATAGATCGAGAACGGAAAATCATGGGAAAATGAAAATCGATAGGCTTTATTCCCCCGTGGCCCAAATGCATGGCGACAGGTTTTGAAAACAAATCTTGAAAAAGTCTGGGCGTTTACAAGGTATACGGGAAAAGAGGAATACCACCATAGCGGAAAGCCAGGGAACACTTCAAATCAAAAATGTTCATTCTCTAGTGGCAACAATGCCTTAAGTAAATCTAGCTTCTATAGCGTTCATCAATCGGGATTCTCCTCTCATTGCCTAAATGCTTCATATCAGATTTGAATGATAGCCAAGCAAAGTGTGGAAATACGCCTACACATCTCTAAAGAAGATTATGCGAAAGGAGAACTTGGCTGTTGGCTAAATCTAATCTTTATCGTTTTCACACGCTTTTCTGGGAAGATAATATATATATCTGTAACAGAAAATCTTACATTGCTGAAAATCAACAGAGTATAAAAATCGGGAGTATAAAAATACTGAAATTCTCAAGACAATTTACACAGGATGGCAAGACTCCGAGAATATTAATTTGAATTCTCAAGATCGTTAACACAGAATGGGAGAATCCTTAGAAAATTATTAAGGCATCTTGAAAACATTAAATTGGAATCTCGAGAAAGTATCATAGGACCACAGCATCTCGAGGTCTTGTACAAAATTTTGCGTAACCCTATTCGCTTCGGTAGCAAATAGGTAATTAAAGATATCCCAGGCGATAATTGAAAAATAAATAGAAAAATTAAATTTAAAATCGCACGTATAAATAGTTTTCCAGCGTCTGAAATCAATATCACTTAAAGGCTCAATACCACTCTTGTTGTAACTGAATAATATGTCCCAATCTTTATGCTGGTCAACAATTTGTACTATTTTAGAATATTTCAATTAATTGATGATACAAATTTCATCTTAACACACCTTATTTAAAAAATTTGAAAAATTCAACCTAATGGTTTGAAACGTCTAACGTAAACCTTTTCAAATGAAACTTCGATTTAAAAATATTTTCGAACCCTCTGGACAAGTAAAATAGGATGTAATGGATAATTTACACAACAGGTAGGACACTTAAACATCTAGTACTTAGATAGAGATATTTTAAATTTTCTGGAGCTTTCAAGCCAGCAAGAGTGTTATTGTCCCTTTAAATGAAAACAGTATCCCATGCTGGCAAAGTCAATAAATTGAAATTAAAGTACATAATTAACTGACGATTGAAAATTCAAAGTTTGAATAAAATCTTTACCGCCCAATGAAAATGAAATTAAAAATTCATGTCAAAATCTGAAAATTGAAATTAAAGCATAAGTATTAGGAACAATAATATGGAACTGAAACAACTTACAGGCCACGGCTGCTACGAAGACAATTTGTAGAAACATCGTTGCGCAATAAATAGTATTTAACAGAGTAGGTTCTTCACTTCAACAGATTTGCAAGCCGAATAGCTCAGATCACCACGAGCCCGATATATATACGATGATGATGTATTGATGAAAAGGTGACTTTAAAGGGAAATTTCGTTTAAAATTATTCCCCACAGATTTACAAATGAAATGAAATGGAATGGGGTTGAACGTCCTACTGGGCTAAGGAAGACGGGCATATGCCATACAGTGTGCTATGAGGGAAATTTTGCCCAGACAGCGGCACTATGTCCTACTCTTATATCGAATTCTAACTACCAAGGGATCTTTCATGTGCACGCCAATGTGCACACGGGACCTCGGTTTTTCGTATCATCCTGAATGACTAGACAGCTGTCCTTGTTAGACCCTTCGCCCTGTACCACTGACAAGGGGAAACCACGTCGGAAAATCCCGACGAACTTTCTCGGCCAATGCAGGGATCGAACACCCGACCTCCAGGCTAGCGAGCCAGCGCCTTACCCACTTAGCAACCGTGACCCCCCACAGATTTACAGATTGTGAGAATGCAAGGTAATATTCAAATGGAATCCAGGTTGTACGTGACAAGGAGTAGGGTCGCCCATCCAACCTCGTGGGTTTTCTAGGGGTCCTCCGGTTTCCTCCCACTGCTAAAGACCCCTACGCGCAAGCGAATTATTGAAATAAAATTAAACCATATGTTGGTCCCGAAATGACCTAGTTTGTGTCGAGTGGACGTTAAACCCCATTTCTCTCTCTCTCTAATATTCAAATGTCTCCTACTGTTCTTCACGCCCCCTCTTAGGAAAACAGAAACACAATATCGAATTCGTGTGAATGTTTATTCGCATACACATTTAATACGTTTAAGAAATGAAATGAAATGAAATGAAATGGTGTTTACCGTCCTACTGTTCTGCTCCTACTGGGCTAATGAAGACAGGCATACGCCATGAAGTGTGCTATGAGGGGAATTTTGCCCGGCGACGACACAACGGTCTACTCTTATATCGAAATTCTAGTGTCAAGGGATCTTTTATGTGCATGCCAATGTGTACAAAGGACCTTAGGTTTTCGTACCATCCGAACGACTGTATGTAGTCCCTTACAAGGCCCTCTGTCCTAACCACTGAGAAGGGAAAATCACACCGGAAATTCCCTATTAATAAAAATCAAATATCGACATATTTTCGGTGTCGAATCCCTTTATACTATTTAACCTCAAAAATATATCCAAGAGAGATTAACTCGCTCCGCCTAGTAGCCTACACAAAAAGCGTTGGTAGGACATTTTCCAATGAATTCATCGCCATGACTACATAATAACAAACACAAAAATTGCACAAGAAATTGACAGAGAATTTATTTTGGGGTATATTTATATATTTTTGAAGAGTGGTCCCGACTCTTGTGGGAGGCGGAATGGTCATCGCGCGGCGCTGTATCATAAGGTCTGTCATTGAGTCAACTGGCGTGGTGTCGAATCCTCGATTGAACATGACAAGGAGTAGGGTCGCCTGTCCTACCTCGTGTGTTTTTTCCAGGTCCTCCGGTTTCCTCCCACTGCTAAAAACCGCTCGAAAGGCGACGTGTTAAAACACGAAATAAAATGAAATAAGGTTAAACTTGTTATTTTGTTCTGTACATTGAAAATAGGCACTTCATGTCGATATTCACACTACACCATAGACTATTAAAAAACCTGTTTACTAACACATTTATACGACTGTTAATATCAAAAGTACATATTATATATGCAATATTTGCACCTTATTCCACAAAGAACTGACTTCATTTCAAACAAACCCTCGCCAAACTCTAATATGAATATGCGTTAGATTGCACCACGAAAATAACTTTGCTTAGAATTACGCTTTTTGGAGTGCACGATCTTACAATCTGGCAAGTGGTGGGAATACTTATCGATTTTTTTTAAGAACGTGTGTTAGATTGTACCATGAAATGAACTTTGTTTAGAATTATTTTCACCTTTTCGTATACGATTCAACAATATTATAGGTGTTATAATAATCAAATAAAGATAGTCTCCCCATCCGACAGCGGAAGCACTTTGAAAACTGAACCATATTTAAATAGAAGAATTTGAATATATATATAGAGAGAGAGAAAGGAATGGATTTTAACGTCCACTCGAAACAAACATTGTCATTTCGGGACTAACATATGGTTCAATTTTTATACGCTCACATTTTCATGTGGACGTATATTGTCGTCGCCCCTGTCCGTCCGGACGTCCGTCGGTCCACAACTTGTTTGTGGACTCTCTACAGGTCACAATGCTTGTCCGATTTTGACGAAACTTAAAATATAGGTTAATCCCCTAAAGATCTCGGCTGCTTTCGATATTGGCATGTATCGGATCGAAACTTCATGGATTATGGCCCCTGTTTGTACGAAAAACACGTTTTTAGCTTGTGGACCCTATAGAGGTCACAATTTATATCCCATTTTGTTGAAACTTGAAATGTAAGTTCATAACCACAAAATCCCAGTTCCTTTCGATATTCGCGCATATCGGACCTTAACTTCCTGAATTTTTAGCTTGTGGACCCTATAGAGGTCATAATTTTTATCCGATTAAAAAAACCGTATTATGATATCACCGTTACACACCAAGGAAGGTTGAGTTCGAATTTCGTGAAAATTGGACCAAAATTGCCGGACAAAATGGCCGCCGTTTGTACGCGAATAGTGTAAAAAATATGGTAAATCAAGGTTGTGGACCCTGCATAGGTAACAATTTTTATTCGATTTTGATGAAACTTGAAATGCATGTTTATAACCTAAAGATCATGTGTTCTTTCGACATTTGCGCAGATTGGATTGTAACTTCCTGAATTATGGCTCCTGATTGTACGCAAAATCGCCTCTTTAGCTTGTGGTCCCTCTGGAGGTCACAATTATTATCCGATTTAAAAAAAAAACGTTTGATTATATCACCGTTACACCGTAATGAAGGTTAAGTTCGAATTTCGTGAAAATCGAACCAAAATGGCCGGACAAAATGGCCGCCGCTTGTACGCGAATAGTGTAAAAAAAATATGGTATATCAAGGTTGTGGACCCTGTAGAGGTCGCAATTTTAATTCGATTTTGAAATGCATGTTTACAACCTAAAGATCTTGGTTCCTGTCGATATTGTCGCATATCGGATCGTAACTTCCTGAATTATGGCCCCTGATTATACGAAAAATCGCCTTTTTTAGCTTGTGATCCGTCTGACGGTCACAGTTATTATCTGATTTTAAAAATCGTTTGAATATATCACCGTAACACCATAATAAAGGTTGAGTTCAAATTTACTGAAAATCAAACCGAAACTGCATGACAAAATGGCCGCCGCTTGTACGCGAAAGGTGTAAAAAATATGGTATATCAAGGTTGTGTACCCTGTAGAGGTTACAATTTTAATCCGATTTTGATGAAACGTGAAATGCATGTTTATAACCCAAAGATCTTGGTTCCTTTCGATATTTGCGCATATCGAATTGTAACTTCATGAATTATGGCATTTGATTGCAGGAAAAATCACTTTCTTTTTAGCTTGTTCTCTATCCATCTCTCGAAAATGTGGGCGTATCCTGCCTGGCAGCCGCTGGTATTTAAATAATTCGCTTGTAGGCAGCATTCCTTGACAGTGGGAGGGAGACACACAGAGAGAAATGGAGTTTAACGTCCACTCGAAACAAAGTAGGTCACTTCGGGACTAACATATGGTTCAATTTTATTTCAATAATTCGCTTGCACGTAGGGGTCTTTAGCAGTGGGGGAAACCGGAGGATGCGGAGAAACTCCATGTGGTTGGGCAGGAAACCCTACTCCATGTCACGTTCAAGCGGGGAATCGAAACCACGCCACTTGACTATTTGACAGATCAGAATTTGAATAACTTAGGCTAACCCTTACACCCATTTGGGTTCTTACAACTTTCAGAGTCTCGGGATATTGAACCGCATTATTGAAATGAAATATATATATACAGACCACTCTTTTGACACCCGGGGGGTTGGATGGCTGAATGGTTAGCGTGCGCGCGCTGTATCATAAAGCCTGTCATTGAGTTAACTGGCGTGGTTTCGAATCCCCGGTTGTATACGTGACAAGGAGTAGGGTCGCCTGTCCAACCTCGTGGGTTTTCTCCGGGTCCTCTGGTTTCCTCCCACTGCTAAAGACCCCTAGGCGCAAGCGAATTATTGAAATAAAATTAAAACCATATGTTAGTCCCGAAATGACCTAGTTTGTGTCGAGTGGACGTTAAACCCCATTTCTCTCTCTCTCTCTTTTGACACCCGTAATACGAATAAAGAGTATTTGTGAAAGTAGCACAAACCACTAAACGCAGGTCAAAGCCATACGCATTTGAATAACTGTCTCAGGGTCTTGTATTTGTTGCGGAATGAATAAATTCATTTATCGGTTCATTGAATTCAGGGTGTCGGGCCAATAACATTATTATATCCATTGACTAAGTCCCTTTGTTCGGAATAAACATGTTCAACCCTATTCATTTCATTTATTGATCAACGTGATCAAAAAAGGAGGGTATTGTTGGCACACTGGTTGACCTTATTAATCATTCGTATATGAAAGGTTGTTTTCTTTTGTAGAGGTAACATGCGATTTCAATAAACTACGTGCGCTGAAGAAACTAACTTAAAGACGTGTGCAAATAAAAGATTATTGACGCCAACCCGCCCGACTTCTCGTGTCCATCATACCGAATTTTACTATCCGCCTTTTATCGGTGATGTTATCACTAATTTGGATGGGAGATCAGCCATTAGCAATTCCAACCCGCTTTAATCTTTATAGCTTCGGACCACTAATGATCATTACATATTACGATTAGCCATGTTAAATCATCGCCGATTCCCGGTGCTGTGATTCGCCCAAAACGCGTATTATTTATTAGAACTACCAGAAAATTCACAACATGGGAGATTAGCCATTAGGAATTCCAACCCGCTTTAATCTTTATAGCTTCGGACCACTAATGATCATTACATATTACGATTAGCCATGTTAAAT